AGGCATGAGGCACCAAGCCTGCTTATGTTTTCTAAGGCTAAGTGCTGGGCCTCTTCATGCCACCATGCAGCCTCCCAAGCCTGAGAAGGCCTCCATCCCGTAGAGGACACAGCATTCCCATAGGATTGCTTTATCTTTATTTTTATTTTTTGAGACAAGAGTCTTGCTTCATCGCCAAGGCTGGTATGCAATGGCGTGGTGATCTCGGCTCACTGCACCCTCTGCCTCCTAGGTTCAAGCAATGTCTCAGCCTCCCAAGTAGCTGGGATTACAGGTGCACTCCACCATGCCTGCCTATTTTTTTTATTTTTATTTTTAGTAGAGATGGGGTTTCAGCATGTTGGCCAGGCTAATCTCTAACTCCTGACCTCAAGTGATCCACCCGCCCTGGCCTCTCAAAGTGCTGAGATTATAGGCGTGAGCCTGCCGTGCCCCGCCCAATTGCTTTCTCCAATCTTACATATCTCACAAGGCCCAGCACCTGCCCTACCTTCCCCAGGAAACTGGCCCTGACTACCTCAGCCTTCCCAAACCTCTCCCTTGTCTGAGCACCTATATGCCTGGTCCATAGCACCCCTCTGGGGCTGAGGGCATCCTTTCCTGTAGGGCCAGATAACTGCTTGATGTCTGACTCTCCAGCCAGCCAGGAGAGTCCTTGAAGGCAGGGCTTTGGTATTCCCATCTTCTCTGGGATGTATTGAACATCTAGTACTTGAGGCACATGACAAAGGCTTAGGGAGATTCTGGGACGAATCGGAGCTTCTCAGCCTCATGGAGCATACAGTTGCCTATGGACACAAGAGGCACACAGTCAGAGCCCAGCGATCTTCCCAAAGCACAGCCCTGAGCACATTACTCCTCTGCTTCAAACCCCTTCATGTCTCCCCACTGCCCTCAGAATAAAATGCCATGCTTGCTGCCACCTCTGGGCCTCCAAATGTGCTCTCTCTGCCATCTTCACCTAACCGCCCATTGAGCCTCAGCTTGGAAATCACCTCTTCCAGGAAACCTTCCTTGGCCACCAAGTCTGAGTCAGAGGTAGGCCTCTTCCCTAGACTTGTGTGGCACCTGCCATTACTTCATCTTGACAAATAACTTGTAACTGACGGTTGCCTCATCTCTCTCCCTTAGAGACTGGGATCAGGAAAATGGGGCCTCATGTGTCTGATTTCTTTCTGTATCCCCAGTAGCTCAGGCCAGCTCCTTGAGGCATGAAGGGTGTCCATTAAATGGACCTGACCAAACAAGATGTCTTTTTTTTTTTTTTTTTTTTAGATGGAATCTCGCTCTGTTGCCAGGCTAGAGTGCAGTGGCATGATCTCGGCTCACTGCAACATCCGCCTCCCAGGTTCAAGCAATTCTCCTGCCTCAGACTCCTGAGTAGCTGGGACTATAGGCACCCACCACCATGCCTGGTTAATTTTTGTATTTTTAGTAGAGATGGGGTTTCACCATGTTGGCCAGGATGGTCTTGATCTCTTGACCTTGTGATCCGTCCACCTCGGCCTCCCATAATGCTGGGATTACAGGTGTAAAGATGTCATTTTCATATACAGCAAGTGTCTAGCAAAGAAATGGCACAGCAGGGTATCTGGCTACTCAATGGTTAGTGTCACACAAACTCCAGAGACATTTCCATCTTTTAAGTCCTTTATTCCCGGCAGTTTACATCAGTTACTCGTCGAGCTAGTGTTCATCATATTAACCAATTCATCTTTCTTTTGATATTGCAATCTTTTTTTTTTTTTTTTTTTTTTTTTTTGAGCCAGAGTCTCACTCTGTTGCCAGGCCCCAGGCTGGAGTGCAGTGGCGTGATCTCGGCTCACTGCAACCTCTGCCTCCCGGGTTCAAGCAATTCTCCTGCCTCAGCCTCCCGAGTAGCTGGGACTACAGGTGCACGCCACCACGCCCGGCTAATTTTTGTATTTTTAGTAGAGAGGGGTTTCACCATGTTGGCCAGGATGGTCTCAACCTCTTGACCTCGTGATCTGCCCACCTTGGCCTCCCGAAGTGCTGGGATTACAGGCATGAGCCACCGTGCCCGGCTGATATTGTAATCTTGTCCTCATGTCCACACTGAGTTGGGGCCCAAGGTGTTTAAGAGTTCTCATTCCATTATGGGAAGCAAGAGGTAACCCTTGTGAACCAGACTTCAACCCCTGGAGGTATTGTTCAGTTCATAGGCAAATATCTTTGCAAGTTTAGTATGTGATACCCCAACAGTGAAATAAATAAGACACAGTGCCCTGGTTCTAGGCATTTGGAGAGGGAAAAGGCATGTTACAAATTCCCCTGGAGCAACTGCAGGCCATTCTCCATCTTCTCAATATGCATTTCCCACTCATCACTGACTTTTAATCTCATCCCCTGATCTACGAGAAACCAGAACCCACATGCTACTCAATACGTTTTTATTGTTCCTTCATGAGATAGCCTTGGTTCCAAGTATATTTTATTTTCCTTCCTTATGCCTACAAGACATCCAATTCTGTTCAGGTCCCTTTTAATGGCACTTAATAAATATACATTCTGAGACCTGACAGACAGGCTGTCCCATTTCACACTGCCTCTAAAGCGCCTGTTTGAACTAACTAATGCAGAGCTGAGTTGGGGCACATCCTAGCTTATAGCTCATGGCCATCTCTGGCCCCAGATCCATCTGTCCAATACTGTGTGTCTAGGGTAGAGGTCCCCAGCCCTGGCTGCATATTAGAAGGCCCTGGGAAGCTTTCTAATTTCCTGAGGCCTGAACCACACTCTAAACCAATTTCAACAGAATCTCTGGGTGACAGGGAGCCTGGCTTCTGCTAGTTGAAAGCTGCCATGGTAAGTTCACTGAGCAGCTACACTGAGCACCCCTGAGCTACAATTCTAGCACACAGTAGGCCCTCAGTAAATATCTGTGGAACCCACGAGTGGGTTTCCTACTTCATTATCTGTTCCCCTATGTTTCTTATTTTTATCAGAAATCTGAGCAGGAAAGAGTAGAGAGAATGAGTCAAGAGCATCCTATGAAGTGACTTTGCTACTGAGAAAGGAACTGTAGGGGCTGTGTTTCTCTGATATTACACAGTCTTCATGCTTTGACAGGCCCAGAGGAGGCAACTCACAGTCTGTCTGACACAGACATGTATATATTTCTTAAAAGCCCTTCAAAAACCAGAGCTCACTGCTTAGGCACTATGTTCATAACATAGACATGTTCTTAGAAATATATCTAAACTACCTCCTGTTTGACACATGTTCTAACTGGGGTTGGTTACAAACTTTGTAAGTTGTACAAGATCACACTGGGTCACCTTTTCCCATTTCTGGGAATCTTGCAATTTATCGTTGCCCAGAGCAACAGCCTAGACATGGTAACCCCAAGCAGTGACTGCACCCATCATTGCCCCAGTGGGTCAGTCCTCCTTGAACAGGAACTGTTTTTGAGGGGCTCCAATTTCCAGGCTCTAGAAGCGGGTGGCTCACTTACCAAGCTGAAGAGTCTGGCTACATAGAATGCAGTACTGAGAAGGCCCCCAAGGTAGATCCTGGGTTACGGGAAAGGAAGTCAGGCTGATGAACGAGGTTTGCTGCCACGGGCATGGGCATTGGGGAGGGCTGCATGGCTGGGGCCACCCTGAGATGACTGCTGTCATTTACATTTGTATCACATTTCAGCTCACAGGGAGTTCTGCATCCTTAGCCTCATGTCATTTTCAGCACAACCCTGTGAGTTAGGTCTTTCCAGATGGGAACAGTGAAGTTGTGCCCTACATCTAAGTTCCCACAGCCAATTGCGTCACATCCACTGCTGCCTCCGGGACCTCAGGGGCAACCTGAAACCTCCAGGGGAATCCCCTTGGCTCCCCTTCTATCCAGAAACAAGAGCAAGCCATTACCTAACCTCCCCACCCACCAGCCCCTTATCACCTCCTTCTCAGAGTTTCCTCTATGATTTGCCTAGTCTTTGTTCCCCTAGTCCAGAGAAGACAGCAGCAGTGTTTACCTGCTGCCAACAGCCTCACACTTCCTACCTAACACACCATCAAAATCCCCTCTTCCCTGGAGCAGCCTCTGAATTTGCCTATACATATTCCAGAACTATGACGTGGTCACACCCACTCCCAAGGCCAGTCAAGAGTCTTAGGAACCTGTCTGCTGCACCAATAAATCCATGGCTTCCACACTTCAGAGGGCTCCCAGTGGGCCAGTGCCCAAGATAACTCAGCTCCCAGCATAGAGAAATAAAGCTGACTCGTTGGTTAAGATGTCTCCTGATACCACGTGTAGGTAGCGAACCATCAGACCAGGCAGTTCTGGCTTCTCCAGCACCTGCTTCCTGCAACCACACAGCATGCAGGTAGCATTCTCCTGTGTGACCCCCGCCACATGCAGTCCTGGATGGAGGCACAGGTAAGACTGGCCATAAGTGATGGCAGGTCCTGGCCAATCAGCTGTGAACTGCGTCCAAGTGCATTGTGAGTCTAGGTCGGAATGAGTTCCTTATGCAGACACAATGAGCAGTCCTAGCTGGAGCCTCCTGTGCCCCCGCCACACCTCTGTGGGGCCCGCCCACGTCTTCTGGCGGCCTCCTGAGTGCCCTTCACCCACCCTGGCCTGGTCTTCCCTCCCACCCCCACCTTTCCTTTGCTGCTTCTCCCTCCAGGGTCACCGCCTCTAAGCCTCCCCCATCACTTGGCAATGTGGGCTCCAAGGAGGGTACCCTAAGAGGGCAGGTTCCAGCCCCACAAAACTGGGCTTGGGGTCCTGGCCAGGAAGCCAGAAGGCACATAACCCCTCCGTCCATTCACTTCCACCAGGCTCCATTCCGGGTTCCCCTTCTTGTCCTGGGCCTCCAGGACGGTCACGGGCTGGCCTGCCTGCAGACTCACTTCATGGCTGCTTCTGGCCACAAAAGGGTACGCTGCTATGACCTGAAACACACGGGGAGTGACACAGAAACGGTCAGGGGGAGAAGGCAGACAAACTCCATCCAGAGAGGCTGTTCCTTCTGTTCCCATACACCTGCTGGACACTCACCACCTTCCGAGTACATCCTTTGTGCTAAAGGGAATCAATGCATCTGCTATTCCCACGGCCCATACAATGCGGCTGGCGCTGTCCCAGCGCTCTACCAAGTTTGCGTTTTCACAAGAATTCTATCATTCTATTTGCTCCATTTTTCAGATGAAAATTGAGGCTCAGAGGACTCAAGGAATGTATTCAGAATTGCACAGGAGTGAATCTAGGCCTGCCTGACCTCCAAGCAGATATTTTGGATCCACTGCTGCCACGTCACTGAGCAGACTCAGCATCCTCTCCCTCTCCAGATCTAAGGGTTTCAGCTGCTCAGGCCAGTTTCCCAGCTGAAAGTGGAGACAAGAATTTAGGCAACTTGGTTACTTTTGACAGAAAAATATTGAACTGGGCCAGATGTGGTGGCTCATGCGTGTAATCTCAGCACTTTGGGAAGCTGAGGTGGGCGGATCACCTGAGATCAGGAGTTCAAGACCAGCCTGGCCAACATGGTGAAACCGTCTCTACTAAAAATACAAAAACCAGCTGGGCAGGGTGGTGTGCACCTGTAATCCCAGCTACTCAGGAGGCTGAGGTGGGAGGATCGCTCGAGCCCAGGAGGTTGAGGCTGCAGTGAGCCAAGGTCGCACCACTGCACTCCGGCCTTGGCCACAGAGCCAGACGCCATCTCAAAAAAAGAGAAAGAAAGAAATTGAACTAGAGAAAACAGTTGGCGAGAAGGGCATTTATTAGGCTAATGTTTAACCTCTCTGAGACCGTCTGACCAGCTGGAAAACGGAGGGGATGGTCCCCTCCCCTTCAGGTCATTGAGAGAATTTCATGAAGGAATACATGTGTAGGGCTTTACACAGTGCCTGGGATGTACGTGGCAAGGGCTCAATAAGTGCAGGCTGCTTTGGTTCTTTTTTTTTTTTTTTTTTTTCTTTTTGCCATTACTGTTACTACTGATGGTCAGGCCTCAGGAACATTAAGCAGCGTGGGAGCACTGGGATGATCCCAGGCAAGTCCCACAGAGTCCCAGAGGAAGCAGCTGATATACTTGGGCAGACAGACAGCTGAGCTGACCCAAATGAGCCCCTGGATGGGCATTCCCTGAGACACCACTCACACTGACTGGAGCCCAGCCACAGGGGCAACCTCATCCCTTTCCCCAGAGGGACTGGGGCAGAGGCTGAGCTGGGTGGTCAGGCCCTCCAGGGGGGCCCTGGTGGGTCCTTTGTATTCCCTGGTGTTTTACTTCTGGCTACCACTGGAGAATGCTGGGCCGACAGCCTTCCCAGTGGGTTTGGCAGAAGCTCTGGAGCAGAGGGTCTCCAGACACCTGTGCGGCGCTCACACAGCCTGCTGCAGGCTCCTCCAGCTGCCCCGGTCCCAGGCACCCAGGTGTGTCCAGATCCTTTCTGTTGCTCCTGCCTCCCCTGTGGTGCATCCTCCACCACCCCTACTGCTGGTCATTGTGACAGCAGCCTCCACTGAGAGAGGTTCACAATACATGCAGCTTCACTGTCTCATCCCATCCTTTCAACTACCCCGGCCGAGCCTCTTCCCTGCTCCAGGACTCCATCCCTGCAAAGCCGAATCCCTTAATGGCTTCCAATCACTTTATTTTTTAGATATAATTCACATTCTATAACACTTACCTTTTTAAAGTATACAATTCAGAGGTTTTAAGTATTTTCACACAGGCACATGCAACTATTCCCACTATCTAATTCCAGAACATTTTTATCATCCCAAAAAGAAACCTCATACCAGTTAGCAATCACTCCCCATTCCCCACCTCCCACCCCCAGCCCCTGCCAGACACTCATCTACCTTCTATCTCTATGGGTTTGCCAATTCTGGACAACCACAGGCATGGGATCCTATGTGTCCTTTCGCGTCTGACTTTGTTCACTTAGCAGCATGTGTTCAAGGCTTGTCCGTGCTGCAGCATGTCCTGGTGCTCCATTCCCCTCTAGGGCTGAATAATATTCCATTGTACGAAGAGCTCACATTGTGTTTATCCATTCATGTTGATGGGCTTGTGGGTTGTTTCTGCTTTTGGGCTGCTGTGAATAATGCTGCCATAAACATGCATACACATGTTTCCCATTGCTCTTCAGAGACACAGACTGACACCCTTACCAAGGCCACAAAGCCCTGCTGGCCTGTCCCTGCCCACCTCTTCAGTGGCACGACTCTCCAATCTGTCCCCTCTCTTCTCCGGCCACACTGGCTTCATTCAATTCTTCACATACCTCCTGTCCTCCCCCACCGCTGAGCCTTTTCTGCAGAGTTCTTTCCCTCTGCACCCCAGTACACCCTCTTTATCCAATTAATTCTCTCTCTCCCTTCCTGTCTGAGAAAAAGCGCCATTCTTCTCAGCAAAACCTTTCCTGGACCTCTCTGCATCTAGGGCTCTGGGTACTTATCTCTGCTATCAAATTTAACTTCGGTTACTCATGCAGTCATTTGATTAATCACTGTTTTCCTACTTGCAGATTAGAAGTTTGAGGAAAGCAAAGACCATAATTTAGTTTTGTTCATCATTGTATCTCCATCTAGTACAGTGTCTGGCAAATATTGAATAAATGAATGAATGAATGAACGAACAAATAAATGAATGAATCTCACTTGCCCTGCTGATGGGGAATGAGGGGTTAGTTTTCTGTGGTTGCTGTGGTAGGGGTGGGAGGCCCTTTTCTTCAGGTCCCACTCCTGGCTGGGACACTGGTGTGGCCACTGATCAAGGCCTTGGCCTCACAGAGTGGCAGCCCCACCAGACAGGAGGGGCATAGACTTTGACAGAGACGTCTGTGACTCAAGCCACAGTCCAGATGGCCAAGGAGAGGCAAGTCCCTAGCCTTCTCTCGTACTCACCTGGTTCACGGTGGGAATAGAGGGCACTGGAGCTCGAACAGGCTCTGGTGTTAGACATCGGGGGACTTCATTCAGCCCTGCCTGCCTTCTGAGCTCCTCTGCGCTGGGGACCACATGGTACAGCTGCAGTTTCCCAGCTGGCACATACCCACGATGTCCTAGGGAGCATGCAGAAGGTTAGTGGACTGTGGGCCACCTTCCCACCCCTTTTAATGGTGGAGAAAATCAATGGATGTAATGTCTCCAACACAGCTTCTCAACACGCAGGAGAACCTGAAAAGGTCATCTAGGAACCCTGAACCCCTTCTGCCTTACACTCACTGTTTCTGGCTTCGGCTAACACACCCCAGTGATAGGGGGCTCATTCCCTACTGGACAGCCCACTCCATTTGATCAACTATGATAGAGAATAAAAGTTTGAAACACAATGAAACCCTGTCTCTACTAAAAATACAAAAAATTAGCTGGGTGTGGTGGCGCGCCCCTGTAGTCCCAGCTACTAGGGAGGCTGAGGCAGGAAAATAGCTTGAACCTGGGAGGCAGAGGTTGCAGTGAGCCAAGATCGCACCACTGCACTCCAGCCTAGGTGACAGAGAGAGACTCCGTCTCAAAAAAAAAAAAAAAGTTTTGTCCCTGGACTGGCATGAAAACTGCTCTCCTGATGGAGCTGCCAGCTCCCATGTCCCTCTGGTGTCTGCCTAGAGCAAGAGCTGCTTCCTCTCCCCAGGTTCTGCCTTTCCCAGGAGGCGGACTGCCTTTCTCCTCTCCACGTGATCCCAGGTCCTTTGTGTGTAGCAACTAGTCCAGTGCTGCTCTGATTGCTGTCATTATAAATGGCTGTCACTTCCCGAGGGCGTGCCAGACTACAGAGCTAGCATTTGGTTACAGAGTCTTCACATCAACTCTTGAGGGCAGCTGGTAATGTTATCATCTCCATTTTATGTTGAACCAGCTGAGCTCAGACAGGCTCCACGACTTCCCTGAGATCACACAGCTGGGAAAGTGGTGGAGCTGGAATCCAAATCCAGTCCTTTTGGCCTTCGGGGTCTTGCTTAATACTCATTCCATTGTTTCCACCTTAAGTCATGGAAGTGCTGTTTCATGATTTCTGTCCAATTTGTACCATTTTCCTAATTTTTTAATTGACTTGATTTTTAAAGCTTCATCTTGTACTATACAATAATAAGATTATAATCATGGAATTACAGACTAGTATATTTTTTCTAATACTCATTAAAATGCTTAAGTAGCCGGGCGCGGTGGCTCATGCCTGCAATCCCAACACTTTGGGAGGCTGAGGTGGGCAGATCACCTGAGGTCGGGAGTTCGAGACCAGCCTGACCAACATGGAGAAACCCCTGTCTCTACTAAAAATACAAAATTAGCCAGGTGTGGTGGTGCATGCCTGTAATCCCAGCCACTCGGGAGGCTGAGGCAGGAGGATCGCTTGAACCCAGGAGGCGGCGGTTGCATTGAGCTGAGATGGCACCACTGCACTCCAGCCTGGGCAACAAGAGCGAAACTTTGTCTCAAAAAAAAAAAAGCTTTAGTAATAATTATAATACACTGTCTGAGGGAGAAAAAAACTGTCTGTGGATCCTCTGACAGTAATCTCATGCACCCCTCATCTTTTGTGTCACATGCCCCTCTTTGGAAGATGCTCTCCTGGGCCATCTCACCTGGATTCATGGTGCCACGTCCTTCCAGCCCAGTTACACTGGGACATCCAGACCTGAGCAGCACACCCCAAGGCCATGACCAGTACGGAGTGGGCAGGATGACTGCTCCCCTCATTCTGCACATCAGACTTCTGGCAATGTAGCCAGGATCCGAGCATTCTATCTCTGTGCCCATCTCCATCTTTCAGGGTGGTCCTGGAGTTCTCTCCGTATAGCCCTGTTGAGCCCAGTGATCTGCAAGGCCCTCAAGGCAGGAGGCTTATCTTATATGCTCAGCGCCCAGCACATTGCAGGTGCTAGATGACAGACACTGCAATAAATGCCTGAATTCCTTTTGTGGGTATTTCATGCCCCACTGAGTTGATCTAAACTGACTGTGCTGTGAGCCCTACGTTTGTCACCTGTGCCTACTCCCATGCTCGAATGCACAGCCAGACTTTGGCCCACAAGAGTGCCCAGGTCTCTGCACTGGCTTCTGTGGGGTGGTTTTCCCAGAAGAAGAAGAAGGGCTCACAAAGGCTCACATACCCCCTGTGTCCACCAGCCAGCGGCCGCTGTTGCCTTTGGTGTCCTTGTTTTGAAGAAGGGCCACGATTTGGCCCCGCAGCAGAGTCAGGTCCAGTGTCCCAGTCCCATTGATGTTGCTCATCACCTGGTACAGCTTCCCAGGGCCATACCTGCTCAGGAGAGCCCGCACCTGGCGTTCAGACCCTGGAAGGAGCAGCTGGGAGAGGAGGAGGAGAGACAGACATAAGTGCTTGAATAAACCTGTCAAAGGTGGTGCCAACATTTGCTTGCATTTTGAGAGCCAGGAGTACTGGGCCTGGTCCTAACTCTGCCGCTGAAGGGCCCACCCTGATCAGGGCAACAAGGCCCCCACTAGCAGATGGCTGGCTCTAAGCAGCCAGTAGCATTTTAGAAGAAACTTTTAATTTCTGGGATTCTCTAAAATTCTAATTCAAGTTCTGACATTTCTCAGTTAGTGAACTCCTAGGATTGGGCCCTAAATTCTGCCCATACCATCAGGTGAAGTTATTCCACAGCAGAATGCCCCGGACAGGTCTTTCAATTCCATTAAGCTGTGAGTTTCAGGTGGGCACCAGACCTTATTCATCTGCTTTCCTAAATAGCCAGCCAGAGCCAGCACATGGCGGACTTCACAGACGCCTAGGTAATGGAATGTAACCTTTGATTCCGTGAGTTTTCAGCCCACAGGCATTTATGGAGCACCTACTATTTACAAAGCACTGTGAAAAGCTTTGTGAATGGTGTAGTAGAAACACGGGAGAGAGTTTTACGCAGATGAAAATTGCCATCTAGCTGGAAAGAATGATTCGGCGGCTCTTTCAACTTATCCAAAAATCTCCTGGCACTTCCTGTTTGTCCATTTCTTTCTTTTTTTTTTTTTTTTGAGACAGAGTTTCACTTTTTGTTACCCAGGCTGGAGTGCAACGGCGCGATCTCGGCTCACCGCAACCTCCGCCTCCTGGGTTCAAGCAGTTCTCCTGCCTCAGCCTCCCGAGTAGCTGGGACTACAGGCATGCACCACTATGCCCAGCTAATTTTGTATTTTTAGTAGAGATGGGGTTTCACCATGTTGACCAGGATGGTCTCGATCTCTTGACCTCGTGATCCACCCGTCTCGGCCTCCCAAAGTGCTGGGATTATAGGCGTGAGCCACCGCTCCCAGTCTGTCCATTTCATAATACTGTTTCCAGAGAGTATCAACAAGAAGAGACTCAGGGATGCTTGCCCTCTTTTTGTAAAACCAATAAGAAAATAAATATGTTAAATATATATTTACTCTCTGTCTTGAGAGAAGCGTGCACGCTCGTGTGTGTGTGTGTGTGTGTGTGTGTGTGTGTGTGTGTTCACCATGCTCTCTGTGGTTACTTCTTGGGAGGAGGTGTTGGCTGTGGGGAGGCAGGCAGAGATATCCTTCAGGAACATCTGGCCACAAATTCTGCCACGTCCTTCCTCTAAAGGGGGTGGTGTGTCAGGATTTAGAACCAGGAGATCTCAATGTTTCTAAACAGGTCCTTAAACAGGAATGTAGAGACGAGGTAGTTTTCTTTGACAACAGTGCCGTTGTGGTCACGTCTTTCGGAACCGTGGTGTGCATGTGAGTATAAAAGCCAGTGGTGTCACAGATGCTGGCCTCCTTTCTCGAGGCTGACCGGCCCTCCCTGTGCAGAGAACAGGGTCACTCTTGGGAGGGCCCCCAAGGAGGGCTTGTAAAGATTCCATGAGGGCCGCTCCTGTCCTGGGAGACCGCCTCACTTATGCTGGATTCTATACCCTCAGCCAAGTACATCAGAAATGGACAGGAGGGGTGTGTGTGTGTGTGTGTGCGTGTGTGTGTGCATGTGTGTATAGAGGTGGAAGGGTGCGAAGGGGTGACTCTTCCTACCAATGTGCAACACATACTGGGATTATGGATGTTTCCATTTGTTTCCTTTTTGTTTGTTTTTCTGTGTCTTTTAACTTTTCTACAATAAATATGGATTGCCTTCCCAATAAGAAACATATCCTTTTAATTTGCTTTAAGTAGAAAGAGAGAAAAGGTTCCCATGACATATTCAAGTGGCTATTCTGCTGTTTATCTTTTGCACTCGTGCTCTCTCCCCAAGTCTCGGGGCCCAGGGCACCCCCCCCACCCCATCAGTGAGGCTTCTGCAGGGCAATGCTCACAGGTAGGGTAGGAGGGGGACAGATGGGGCCAGCAAGGAGTCAGCCTGCGGCCTCAGGGCAGACTTCAGGCCGTGATAGTCTCCTATGTTGGCAATACTTGGGCCAGGTGTCGGCCCCTTTTATCTGTCCTGTTCTGCTGGGCTCCTTTTCTTGTTTCTGTGTGTCCCTAGGGCCCCACTGTCCCTCTGGGGAATCTCAGGGCTCTTGTCTCCTGACTCTTCATTTCACATGTTGCATGTGATGGGACACAGTTTCAGTTTCTCACATCCAGGTCTTGCCATAGCCTGAGGAGACCCTTCTCCTTACAGCTGCTTCAGTTGCTTTTAAAACACAGACCACCTGCGTATACTTTTCAAGTGACTAGAACAGATAACCTCTACTTATATTTTAAAGGAAAATACATTTTTAAGAAAGCATTTAGGGCCAGGTGCAGTGGCTCAGGCCTGTAATCCCAGTACTCTGGGAGGCCAAGGTAGGCAGATCACGAGGTCAGGAGTTCGAGACCAGGCTGGCCAACATAGTGAAACCCCATCTCTACTAAAAATACAAAACAGTAGCCAGACGTGGTGGCGGGCACCTGTAATCTCAGCTGCTCGGGAGGCTGAGGCAGGAGAATCACTTGAACCTGGGAGTTGGAGGTTGCAGTGAACCGAGATCATACCAATGTACTCTCCAGCCCCAGGCAACAGTGTGAAATTCCATCTCAAAAAAAAAAAAAAAAAAAAAAAGCATTTGAGGCCAGGTGCAGTGGTGAATGCTTATAATCCCAGTACTTTAGGAGGCCGAGGCAGGCAGATCACCTGAGGTCAGGAGTTCAAGACCAGCCTGGTAAACATGGTGAAACACTGTTGCCACTAAAAATACAAAAAATTAGCTGGGCGTAGTGGTGGGCACCTATAATCCTAGCTACTTAGGAGGCTGAAGCAGGAGAATTGCTTGAACCCAGGAGGTGGAGGTTGCAATGAGCCAAGATCGTGCCACTGCACCCCAGCCAGGGCAACAGAGTGAAACTACATCTTAAAAAAAAAAAAGAAGAAGAAAAGCATTTGGTCAGCCAAAGATTTGTAAACCATCATGCAGCTGAAATTCTGTTCTTTGTAATTAAAAAAAAAAAAAACAGGCCGGGCGCGGTGGCTCAAGCCTGTAATCCCAGCACTTTGGGAGGCCGAGGCGGGTGGATCATGAGGTCAAGAGATCGAGACCAACCTGGTCAACATGGTGAAACCCCGTCTCTACTAAAAAATACAAAAAACTAGCTGGGCATGGTGGCGCGTGCCTGTAATCCCAGCTACTCAGGAGGTTGAGGCAGGAGAATTGCCTGAACCCAGGAGGCGGAGGTTGCGGTGAGCCGAGATCGTGCC